AGAGTGGATTGAGTGTTCCACTAATGTGGAAGCTGTCAGCTGCCAATGCACAGAGTTGATTCCTTCATGAATGCCCATTGTATCTTAAATTATAGGCCTTCCAGCTCAATCCAAATAAGCAGACCCCAACTTCCTGATGTAGACCACTACAAAGAACATTTCAGAAAATGAAGAATTACCCATTTTACCATTTGTACAATGGAAAAGTTGTATCTTCATCCAAAGACAGATAAAATGCACATGTACTCAAGTTAACTCAGAGCTAGTTTAGAGCTGGCATTACATCATGCCAATCAGTGAGGAAGCCTATCCAGGGGTAATTGTGTTAGGCTTCCTTACTGATGAAGTGAGAAAGTCTGTAATCAGTATGTCTCTCAGCAAATAAAAATGCCATGGAAGTAATCATAAATGGTGCAAAATATCTTATGCCACTCAGTTTGAGTTCCCTTATCTGCCAGTTTAAAATTTTCTCTGCCCACAGAAGAATATGTTTTCTGTTCAGATCCATCAGCCATATGGTGAAAACTTTAGCATTTGGACATGTACCATAGCATGTTGTGTGCATTGGCAATAGTGTGTGGATTGTATTTCTGTTTCTCCAGATACATTAACCATTCTATAGATTCAAATGAGCATCAAAAGCCCTAAATTTGCCTTGCTCATTAGGGAATTTTTCTCCCCTGCCAAGTATCTTGTTAGTGATGGCCTTGTTTCAACCCAAAAGTAGTTTGGGTCAATAACAAAGACAACACTCATACTATTTCAGCATTGTGGTGAAAATTCCTCAGTATGTACCAGCATTTTTGTGTGTATGTTCCTTTATTTTATTCATTCCTCACTTCCTCCCACCCACCCCCTCTATACATCACAGTCCCTCACAACGACAGAGATTTATTGCACTGCAAAATGTAGAAACTCTTGTGGTTTGTTTTATAAGTTTGTGTGCATGTGTGTGTGTGTGTGTGGAATAGATGTGGTTAGCCATTTGCTGAAATTGGGGTCTGACTATTGACAAGAAAAACTTCTGACAATCTTGCTGAGCAACACTATACAAGCCCCATAACTTTCAGCCTTGTCTATTTCACATATGCACATACATGTTACTTCTGAAGGGAAGGTGAGCAGGTCAACAGCTGTTTCTGTCATTCTGCCCCTCCTTTTACTTGTAAAAATCTAACCTATAGGTTCTTTTCAGTGGTGTGTTTGCTTTCCTCAGGGGAATCAATGAATTCACACTCCCACACAAATACTTAATAAACTTTATAGATGACAGAGGAATAATGCTCTGTCTTTACTAACAGTTCAAACCACCTTGGGCTAATTCATAATCGCAATGGATTTTCTAGAGCACTGATATAACCACAGTTTTGGCTAAGTGTTCTCAAGTTTCTTAGACAGACTGTGTAATCATCACAACACATTGATCATGATCCAAAGAATGAATGCCTTTCGATTTCATAAGGCCTTATAAGGGCCTTTACAGATTGCCAGAAATAATACAGCTTGAGGCCACTTTAACTGTCCCGGCTCAGTGCTAAGGAACCATGGGAACTGTAGTTTATTGTGGCACCAGAGTTCTCTGACAGAGAAGGCTCAATGTCTCAGAAAAAAAAAATACAATTCCCATGATTCCCTAGCACTGAGCCAGGGAAGTTGAAGTGGCCTCAATCTGCATTATTTCTGGCAGTCTGTAAAGGCCCTCAGTTACACATAGGTTTTTCAAATTTTGTTTAAAAAATACCCTGACCAGGAGTACTTGTGACATAAAGGAAGTTGCAGCTGATGCCCTAGTTTTGTTAAACAGTTAAAAAAGAAAGAATGGCTCAGTTAGGAATGCCACCCAAGGGATCCATAATGGAGACAAAATAATCTTTGATATCATATCTGAAGCACAGTGTTGTTCTGCCAAGCTTCTATCTTCTCTTGCCAAAAACCATGCAAAGGTGCGTCTTTCATACACACAGAAAATTAGCCTATTTCAAACACTTTCTTTCCAAAAACCATGCAAAGGTGCGTCTTTCATACACACAGAAAATTAGCTGTCAGAAAACAGTATGTGTGTTACACAAACAACTATAATTTTACATATAATTGTGCATGTGGATAGATATAAGCCTGATAAATAGAAATACATAGAACAATAGATGGAACCATATGGTGATATAATCCACTAGGGAAGTATAATGCAGTAATGCAGAACGTCTGGCATAAAGTAGCTTAGTATGAAGATGAATCTCTTATGTTTCGGCAAAATATCTAGGCATTGGCATTCCTTCCTTAAGTCAAGAGTGGAACTAATACTTATTCTGAGGACATTTTCAAGTTTCTTTTGTAAACTTTGCCCTATTGCTATTGTTATTATATGACTGCCCTTTAATTTTCTTTCTTTGATGCTTCTTCCTTAAAGATTGTTGTTGTTGTGTGCCTTCAAGTTGTTTCTGACTTATGGCAGCCCTAAGGCAAACCTTAGGATTTTCTTGGCAAGATTTGTTCTGACTTATGAAAACCCTAAGGCAAACCCTAGGGTTTTCTTGGCAAGATTTATTCAGAGTGGGTTTGCCCTTGCCTTCCTCTGAAGCTGAGAGTGTGTGACTTCCCCAGTCCAGTGGGTTTCCATAGCTAAGTGGGGAGCTGAATCCTGGTCTCCAGAATTGTCATCCAATATTCAAATCACTACACCATGGTGTCTCTCTCCTTAGAGATAGCCAGTGCAATTGTAGGGGGATTCCATCTAACTACATATTCATGTATCTGCCTTGCAGTATACATAGTTTCCAATTACTACTAGGTAGCAAATACTGAACATTGGTAGAGTGAGAGGCAGATAGTGGTTTAAAATAAAACTAACCATAGGATAGGCAGCAGTAACATTATCATGTCAAATGTGTTCCAAAACTCTAAGTGCTGAATAGTCTAAACCCATTAAGTACATTCTACAAACATGACAAGGTTGATGAATCAGACTTGGAAAGCTCACATAGCACAAAATAATATATTTTAAAACAGTTATCTTATTATGATGCATGATATTCAGAAACACTGGCTAATTTCTGTAAGTAGTGCCAGTTCTTTATTTTATTTTTTTTTTAAAAGAGAGATCTGCCTTCAGAAAGCCTGATCCACTAGGGTCAAAGCATGTTATTGACAGATTCCTGAACTTGAGTTTGACTCTGATGCACACGTTTTTTAACCTGCCCCAAAATATCATGAAGCTAAAATGACACTTGTCTCTAGCACACCAAATAATGTTATATACAGCCACATCAATTTAAACTGCTAAATCAATTCAGTTCCCACTATTAGATATCACAAAGTAAATGATATGGTACCAAGATTTTGTGAAGTAGATAACTACTCTGAGAGAACACGAAAGCTGTCCAAACAGCAGTATAAGCTGGGAAAAGCCAAAGGAGTGTGGAGTATCACTAGGATGTGGTTAGTCTGCGGACTCCACCACCCCTCATTTCCTAACTACCACAATGTTATTTTATGGGTCTGCAGTTATCTATGGCTTAACTTTACACTGATTGGATTGGGCTCAATAAAAAGTTACAATTTACAAGACTTCCCCCTCTGCTACAAGAAGGATTGTACATAGAGGTCTAATTCTTCTATATCACAACATCTTCAAGTGCATTAAACTTTATTATTAGAGCATTAAAGCATCTGTTACAACATCTGCAAGGTGTAGGTCATGTCAGTATAGTGGGTTATGCTAGGATCATTCTTGTGTTAGAATTCTCAGCTGAATATTTCTCTATATCCCCTCTTTTTCATTAATTTCAGTTTACATATAATCATTTGCAAATGATAAGAAGTTTCTCTTTCAAAATATTCCATATACTGTCAGCATAGCTATAAGTTTTAGTATACTTTTTTCTGCTCTTCATTTCATTGACTTTGCCAGAGTGATTTAAATGAGACTAATTTATTTTTCTTTCCTTTTTTTGTTAAAAAAATAAAATTTATCTTCAATAGTCTTGGTAAAGTAGCTAAAATCTGATGCTATTCCCTTAAAGACCTTGGTATTTTTCCTAATTCTCTGTATTCTTTATATATAAAGAGTATAATTTGTTGAGCTACTGAAGCCTTCCAGCTCATAACAGTCAAGTAAAAAATAGTTATATTTCTTCATTCCATATTAAAATATATCAGAGTTGCTTTCAAAAAGCTCACATTTTTTCCCAGTTCTCTATTCTAATATGTGGTTAGCTAACTGGATTTATCCAGAAAGAAACCAGAGAAAGGAAAGTTTATTATACACCCAGACTCTCAAAACAATTTTCCCCTCTGGTAAATATCACAGACAGTTTTCTCAGAATTGCCTGAAATAAAATTCTTTGCAGCTATTGCAAACAAACATGGGTACATTTTATATATATATATTTGGGATGTTAGGGTATTTTCCAGAATGATTGATTTTACTATCTACATACAATTACACCTATAGCATGATTACTATATATAGAGCAACATATTCTACTCCAATTGTTAATGCTAACCATAACACAAAAATGGTTTGAACAGTATGTCTGTTTCTAGTTGAACCATTTGCCTGTCTCATAATAATATCAACTGATAGGGTCCTACAAGCAAATGAGGGTGTCTTAAAAATAGATTAGTTGAATAACTAATTGCACCATTCAACTTTGCACAATATGGAGTAGAATTATTATTGAACTGAATGGTGCATTTATCAGTTTGTATAGAAAGCTGCTTCCCCAAGTGGCAGAAGATATCTTGTGACCATAGGACAAGATTTCCTCACCTATACATCTTGCAATTGACATTCTTCATTTTTTAATTAATCACTTGTGGGTAAAAATGGGATAATCTCCAAGTCTGACAGTTGTTGTGTGTCTTCAAGTTGTTTCCAACTTATGGTTAACCTAAGCCAAATCTATCACAAAGTGTGTGTGGGGGGGTTGTTTGTTTGTTTGTTTTAGCAAATTTGTTCAGAGAAAGTGTGACTTGCTCAAAAATCACCCAATGGATTTCCATGGCTAATCAGGGATTCAAACCCTGGTCTCCAGAGCCACAGTCCAACACTCAAACCACTACATCATGTTGACTCCCAAGTCTGACTACTGAACCACAACTCTTCTAGGAAATCCTGTTGTGTGAGAAAAGGGGGATTAATAACAAGGAACATATATTCTCCTTAACATCTACAGTAATTTGATCCTTAGATCCTTAGATCAACTATCTGATCCATAGATGACTATCTGAGAGCTTAAAGTGGGAAAGAAGACAACAGCACACTTTCATTATTCACTTCCATCAATACAAGTTTAATGCCTCTCAATACAGAGATCCCATTTAGCTATAACAGTTTATATGTGTTTATTTTAAAAGATTTGTATAAGGTGCCTTTTAAGGAAAACACTCCTAAGGTAGCATACAGTGGCCCTTTGTTATCTACTGGGGTTTGGTTCCAGGACCCACCCATCCCATGGATACAAAAATCTGTGGATGCTCAAGTCCCATTAAATGCAGTGGCATGGCAAAACTGTGTCCCTTATATAAAATAGCAAGATCAAGCTTGCTTTTTGAAATTTATATATATTTTTAAATATTTTCAAACCATGGATGCTTGAATCTGTAGATAAAAAAATCCATGGATATGGAAGGCTGTATAATGACACTATAAAACATAAAAGAGAATGGCCAGAATTGAACACTGGCTGATTTGAACATGGGGTTGTTGCATTCACAGAAGGAGCCCTCCACCTACCTTAAATACCCAAAAGCTTGCTATGGAGGGCTGGGGAACTCTTTGACACAGGTTTTCAGGAGAGAGCTGGAGAGGGCTAAAATCCTGACACCATGATGAGGTCACAGTAAAACAACAATAATTGTTTAGAATGATGAACAAAATGGTCAATGACAGTTTAAAGCAAATAGCAATGCACATTTCCTCAGTAGAGTCTTAATCTAATTATGGGCCAAGGGAAACAGGAGAGATGGGTAGAAAACTCTCCTTCATGAAGCAATCTACTACTGCATCTTAGGGCATTTAATGACATAATTTTATGTGTTATGTGAAGAAGCGTTCCTACCACTGCCAATCAGTTGCAATTGCAAATCAATATAATCGTGTGAATCCCAAATTCCAACAGATTGCTCAATCTATAGACAGATGGACAGTAAGTCAAACATTATTTGTTCAAAAAATAGTTCAAAACAAAAATAATAATCTGACAACTACTTCACAAAGTCTTAACTCTAAACAACACTAAACCATTTCCTTGAGCATCTACTGTTTTCCCATGAATTCTATTTTTTGTTGTTGTTGACTGTTGCCTAAACAATAGTATCCATTAAAAATTTGTAACCCTAAGGCAACACAGGTTTTTTTCTTGGCAAGATTTATTCAGAGAGGTTCATTCAGAGAGGCCTTGGCCTTCTTCGGAGGCTGAGAGAGTGTGACTTCCTCAAAGTCACCCAGTGGCTGTACATACATTGGCTGACAGGGGATTTTAACTGTGGTCTCCACAGTTGTAGTCCAACATGCAAACCACTACACTTTACTGGCTCTCTCTGCTGTACATATGCAAAGTCTTGATGAAATAGAATGTCCTTATAATACTTGCCTAACACTACAGAGGACATCTGCTGGAATACTAAAACAGTCAGAGCTTTTCCAGGATACTGAATAAGATGTTACATATTTCTTACAATCATCCTATTCAACACAGAACAATACACAGTTTACATGGGAATAGCAGACAATATCCTGGATTGCATAGCCTGAATCTATGCCATTAACACAGTACAATACCTATTCAACACAGACAACACACAGTTCACCTGGGAACCACTCCTCCCTATCCAGGGTCTCACAGTATATATACACCCAGGCCTTTCCATTTCAGTTTTCTCTGAAAATGCTATCCATAGATGCTGGCGAAACATCAGAAAGAAACTATTCTAGAACATGGCCACACAGCCCGAAAAAACCCACAAAAAACCTAATCATGTTTAGATGCAACCACATCATACTGGGAAATAATGTTATTTAAATTTTGAAACTGTAGAAAGATCAGATTTACATATGACATGCATCATTCTACAGTAAGTCCACTATATCGCCTGGTTAGCCATCTGTGGACTGGAGCACCCGCAGATTGCCCTGCCATTATATGAGCCGATGGTGCCACTTGCCTGTGGGCATGCTGATGCAGGTAAGGTCTATTGCATTAGATTCACTCTAAACTGACCATCAAAGAAATAGGCTTGTGAGAAATACAACCCATTTTAGTCTTGAACAATCAGAAAACTCCCTTCAATAATCTAAGGGAATTCTGCTCCTGGAGAAAGGATTTAGGTAACTTATCTGAGAATGGATTTATTTGGATAGTACACTTGAAAAAGCTCCATGGTTTTCATCCCATGACATTGGCTCTGCCTCTAATTCTTCATGCCCACTTCCCCAAAACAAAGCCTGGCTTGAAGAAAGGAGGATATGGTAGTAGAAGTGGTCTCTGTCATGCTCTGCATCCAGAGCATGAAAATGGACTCTAACTCAGAAATTGAAGCAGTGGACCTGTTGGTGAACCAGAGCAAGAGAAGGTTCTAGAGCCACATGTCTCAGAAAGAGACCAGAATGAAGTACCAGCTCTGGCAGAGAGTCCTGCTCATTCAGATATAGAAGATCACTTACCCCTGCTGACCTTTGCTGAATGGAGGCAACAAAGGAAGGGCTTGGGGAGGTCTCAGAGGATTTATAAGAAGCAGCAGTTAATTAAGCAGCAGCTCTGCTGAACTGCTGATCTATAAATTCTAAGCCCTGCACTCCAGGAGTTGTCAGAGAGTATCTGAGCAATCAGCCTTTGACTGGTTACCCAAACAATCTCTTGGAAACAGGAGTGAGGAATGCCATCTTTACTTTCACCAAAAACCTGGGTGATAATCTGAGACTTCACTGCAAGTTCTTTGCTTCAGCAAGACATAATACACACAGAATCAGGTGGTTTCTGACTGTACATACCTATTCATCTGTTTTGGACTCCATTCATCTGTGCAAAGAGGAAGGGTGGTAATGGTAGGGGACAGTCCAGGAATTTAATCAGAATCAAGGGGACTGCATCCACCTTCAAACTGTTTATTAAAAAGATGAGAGCACTGACACTTGCATATTCGAATACTTCTGCTTCAAATTCCTTTCCAACTTTACCACTGTTCCAAGCATGCATCAATTTACTCATCTATAGTAAATTTCATTTCTCCATTAAGATAGTCTGGAGAGATTATTTTAGAATTTAGCCAGAGACGTTTTAAGCTTTCCACATCCAGAATAATTTGATGTTACATCCATCAAATTGGTAAACGAAGATTCAGGAAGGACTCATCCCACGCTTTTTGCAAAAAAAAAAAAAAATCTTTGCCACTATCTTTGCCACTAATTCAAGATGAAATTGCAGTATCTAGAATAGATCCTTAGAAGAATATCATTGCTTCATTCTATCCACTGCATATTATTTACTTCCTGTCTTTCAACCAGTTACTGGTCCATGAATCTGATGAATTTGACAGCTTATGCTACCAACATCTTTCTCTCAGGCCCCAAAAAGATGGGGCAAATCATGTGGCTTCCAGCTGCTTTGGGAACATGGAGTGTCCCAAAGCTGTGGGAAGCCATGCTGAGGTAGCAAAAGCTGGCCTTTTCAAGAACAGATTAAATTTGCTCCTGACAGTGGCCCATTAAGGACCATGATGGCGTCTGGTCGCTCTTTTTGGCCTGTCTTCTTCACCCCTCAATCTCATAAGTGCTACTACAAAGTCTCTTTGCATAATGGTCCTTAAAAGATAAATGGTAAGTTTTATCAGGTCTTTGATAAGAGATGTTTAAGGACTTACAAAAAAAATCTAAAAGGCTAATAAATGGTTTGGGGGTGATGCGATCAAAGCAATAAATTTACAGTGAATATATATTCTCACTCCTCTAATCTTGCCATCAAAATTCTTCTTAAATGCCTCTGAAGCAGGTCTGACCCTACCATAAGGCAGCCACCTCAAGCACCAAGTACTGGGATTTTACAGTAAAGAGCTAGAGAAGAGACTATACTGGACACAAGCAATTTTCAACACCATACAACTTTATTGGACAAGTGTATGAGGTGATCTTAAACATATGGGCATAATTTAATTTAATGGGCCCATGTAATGTTAAAGGAAAGACAAGATAGCATTTTTCAAAATTTCAAAACTATTATAGAAGGTAGAATAATACATATAAGAACCACAGAGGAAAATAATGACTTAAATTTTTTACACCACAAAATGGCTAGAAATGAAAACAAGCTGTCCAGTTAGATAGTAGAATATTTTACTCTAGAGATTTCTAAGAGCACACTTTAATGATGTCTACCAAAGCAGGAATTTGATTTACTTTGAGTTTTTATAGGCTCCTTTGCTGCAGCTTTGTGTCATCAAGAAGCCATCACAGGGACTCTGAAGTGTGATGTTTCCTGTTTCACCCACTCCCTTTCTTTCTGGGAGCAGAAGAGAGAAGAGCAAAATTACTGCTCCTGTGACTGGTGAAGTATGGAGAAATGTTAATACTGGTGAAGTATGGAGAAATGTGTGTAATTTCATGGGATTTTTTAAGACAAGGTATACTCATAGGTGGTTTCACCAGTAACTTCCTCTGAAATATAGGGCCCTTACAGACTGCCAAAAATAATTCAGCTTGAGGCCACTTTAACTGTCCTGGCTCAGTGCTAAGGAATCATGGGAACTGTAGTTTATTGTGGCACCAGAGCTCTCTGACAGAGAAGGCTCAATATCCCAGGAAAAAAAAATACAATTCCCTTGATTCTCTAGCACTGAGCCAGGACAGCTGAAGTGGACTCAAGCTGCACTATTTCTGGCAGTCTATAAAGGCCCATAGTCTACAGCACCTGGTCTTCATTGGCAGTCTTCCATTCAAGTACGCTGCTTAGCTTCCAAGATCAGATGAGATCTGGTGCCCTTGGGTTTTACTAAATCATCTTGCTCCTGCTTTCTGTCTTTAAAAAAAAGTCTGCAATAGTATACCATTTTGCTGCTTTTCATGCCAAATCAGTAGAAG